CCGTTCTCTAGCTTGTCGAGCATTCTTTCCAAAAATCGGGACTTTTGTAAAACGCCGCGGGACGCGGGACAAATTGTTAAAAAGCTGGACGAAGGCTGAATGTTATTTGGCAACTTTCTTTAGGGTGGGCAGGGGTATGGAGTTCAGGGATAAGTAGTGAATGGTTATTGGTGTGTGTGTGTGTGTGTGTGTGTGTGTGTGTTATGGAGTTCAGGGATTAGTAGTAAATGGTTATTGCTCTGTGTGTGTGTGTGTGTGTGTGTTATGGAGTTCAGGGATTAGTAGTAAATGGTTATTGCTCTGTGTGTGGGGGCGGGTATGGAGTTCAGGGATTAGTAGTGAATGGTTATTGGTGTGTGTGTGTGTGTGTGTGTGTGTGTGTGTGTTATGGAAGGGATAGATTAGTAGTGAATGGAGTAAAGTGTGTGTGTGTGTGTGTGTGTGTGTGTTATGGAGTTCAGGGATTAGTAAATGGTTATTGCTTTGTGTGTGTGTGTGTGTGAATGGTTATTGCTATGGGCAGATTTACAACAACACAGTATCCCTTTAGCCAAAAGAAATCGATCATTTATCGTATCTACTATTCATCAGGCCCTGAGTTGGGCAGTTGGTCTTTATTTTGTCTCATTAAAAAAACATTTACTGTTATCCTGGTCCAGGAGAACAGCTTAGCCCCTTGGAGATCATATCTATGTAATAACAGGATATAGTTCTGAAAAGAGAAGAAATCTGTTGGGCATTTTGTCTAAGTAAGTGATTGAGGAAATGGGGGAAGATGCTTCCTCTTTTATCCTCCCACAGAACTTGGTACATCTCTAACTATTTTTACACATATCCCATGTGTGTTCTTCACCAGTTGTCTGGAAAGAAGTCTTATTTGATTTTGGTTTTGCAATATCCCAGTATAGCACAGTAACTAGCAGAGGCGAAGTACTTAGTAAGTACTAGAATATTTTTGGTATATGAAATTAAATTATTTGAACTCTGTTTTAGGGAAATGATGCTGGCAGTTGTGTGAAGGATGCGCTCAATGACTAGATAGATGTTCAGAGAAGAACTAATTAGGAAGCGGTGACAGTGATCGAGAAGAAGCCCTGGTGGTGTAGTAGTTAAAAGCACATCTAGTTGGGGTTTTGAACCTACCAGATAGTCTGCAGAAGATTAACAAATAATGTGGCAGTTGGCTTTCACATAGATTTAAGCAAGGTGGACATCTGGTCCACTGGCCCTATAAGCAAATCACCAATACTTGCTAATTTCACGTGGCTTACCATCACATGCCATAAAGACCCCTCACTGCCATCTAGTCAATTCCCACTCATAGAAACCTGATGATATAGTGGTTGTTAACCTTTGGGCTGCTAAGGGCAAAGTCAGCAGTTGGAAACTATCAGCTCCCCAGGAGAAAGGGCTTTCTACATCCTTCAAAGAATTACAGTCTCAGAAACTCACAGGGGTAGTTCTACCCTCTACCCAGAGCCATCACATTAGGGATGCGTTCATTGGGTTCATTGAAGGTTTGACCAGTATGATGCATAAAAGATGTTATAAATATCCAAATGACCCTTGGCAGCAAAAAAAACTTCTCCACCCTTGATTTAGAACCTTAGAAACTATGGGGCAGCTCTACTCTGTCCTCGAGGGTCATTATAAGTGGGAATTGCCTTGATGGAAGTGGGTTTGAGTTTGGACAATGTTCCAGAGAAAAGAAGACTAAGAACTGTAACAACAGTAGCAGGCAATGAATGTACAAATGTGCTTTATACAATTGATGTTTGTATGGATTGTGATGAGTTGTATGAGCCCCTAATAAAATGATTAAAACAAACAAACAGAACAGTAACAGTGCAGGTGGGAAGAGGGGTGAAATAGGAATACAAGGGATATTTCTTTCCACAGGTCTTGGAATTAATTGGATTTAGTATGAGATAAAAGTAAATTAAATGATCCCTGGGGGGAGGGGGAGGGGAAAAAGGAAAATGAGCTGATTCCGGGAACCCAAGAGGAAAGCGAATTTTGGGAATGATGAGGGCAACGAATGTATAGATGTACTTTACACAATTGATCTATGTACTGTGATGAATTGTATGAGCCCCAATAAATTGAT